TTTGCAGATATACCAGGTTGTAACTGAAACCTTTAAAGGCATTTTGTCAAGACATTTACTGTCTCACTAGATGTTACTTACTTCTTAAAAGGGAAAATTTTGTAGGAGGGAAGCAAAATTACTTTCATATGGACAGGAATATAAATGGATTATTTTCTTGGGGGAAAACTTGATAAATGGAAACCTCTTAATACAGTGAAAGACTAAATTTAAATGCCTTTTCTCTTTGAAAATGCCATGTTATGGTCTTCATTATTTGTTATATTCCTAAAGTGCTTTTCTTCCCAGGAAACTCATTATAAACTGTCTCCTGACCAGACTGAATTCAGCTCCTTCTCAAGGCAACTGCCCTCCCAAAATGCACCAAAAACAGATCATCTGCCCCAAGTTGTGCAGCAGGAACATCACAGTTTATGAAGCATGACACCGCTGTTTATCATTAAGATTCAAATTCTTGCATTCCCTTGGCAGAATATCCTGTTATGAGTTTGATTCGAACTAGAGCAGCTAAGTTGTAGATTTCTTAGAAAGTGGGCTTCTAATGGAAATGGTGGCAATCCATTAACAGCAGGAGGGCTAATGGCTGCCACTAAAAATACACTTACAGATTACAGTAATACAAACACATATTTTAAAGTGCCTGCCAGGAGTTCAAGCATTTTTTTAATGTTGCTGTTAATAATAGGCCACCCAGTCCTTTGGCATTTGATTTTTGTCTCATAAATGGGCTTAATCTAAGGTAACGTTGTTGTATGGCACTATTTTTTGTTTGTTCGATTTTGACAGGGGTCTGAATGTCTTTTGCAGAATCATCAGTGCCCTTAATGGAAGGTAAATAATTGGTGCATTGGTTGACGCACAGAATTTTAAATCTGCAAAGGATCTTAGCGATCTGCAAATCAGCTCCATTATATCTGCTGCAGGAAATTTGGGGCTATGGAAAGTAATGGGCTAGAGCTTAGAAAGGGAAAATGAAGGACTAGCGGGAAGTGATCCCTTGACTGGGGCCTCCCTTCTCAGCCAAGTCGTTAAGGGATGCCCACCCTTTTGCTTGATCGCCTTGCCAGGGTTACCTGATCTTTGTAACCATCACAATGCTTTTGTGTGGTAATAAAAGTACTATGCAGTTATCTCTCAGTCTCCTCAAGGGACTAGTCTCACAATTCTCTGAGGACACCAAACTTGGCAGCTGCTCTAGTCCCTGATAGGAAAGGGCCCTGCATTTGTCTATAACCTGTACACGCCCTGCCGTATCCTTAGAAGCATCTCCAGATGACTTTCAATACCTAATGCAATGTCAATGTAGGGTGAACAGCAGTTGCACTGCATCGCTGAGGGGATAATGAATCAGAACCTGTTCTGTACAGACACAATTGTTTCTTCAAGGATTTTCCACCTGCGGAGGGTTGAATCTGCACCCATCGGCCCTCCAGAGAGGGCTGAGTGTCCTCAGTACGGAACTGTAAGGGTAGTGCCAGCAGGAGATTCAGAGCCCCGTACAGTCCTACTACCCAACCTGCTTCTCATGTTCACATAGGCACACTGTGCTGTTCACATACCATTCTGACTTTGCCATTCCCATAAGCATTTTCTCACATTATTATATTTTAAGAATCTGATTTTCATCAGGTACTTTGTCATTTTGGAGTGGCGCAAGGTCTCCAACGCATTTTGCAAGTATGCCTTTTTCTCTCTGATGACTGCGATTGCCAACATCCAGACTACACAGCGTCTGTTTACTTACCTCTCTATCTCCTCAAGAAGAAAAGTCTTAATACCTACTGTCAAATAACAAAGGCCCTACTGTTAGCACTCTCACTTATGTATTTTTATGGTAGAAATTTTATTTTCCATGTATTTTGTTATTATTATTACTACTATTATTATTTTATGATACAGTTCCATAGGCTCTGGGAATTCATGTCCCTCTCCCAAGTCTCCTAGTTCTGCATGAACAGTCATAGTCCATCATTCCACTACTGAAGTGTTTCCCAACAATTTAGGCATGGACAATCTGACATATATTTTTTTGATAAATTTTATTTTTTATAATGATTACATGGTCAATCAGGGTGGGAAGGATCAAGGTTTAGGGAAAATTAGGTGCACTCATTGCTTCCAAATTTGCTATTTCTTCTTGTTGTTTCTGAGGGAAGAGGAGAGACAAAGGGGGAAACCACTCCTGACTTTCCACATGTCCCAGTCCCCAGGGATGAGGAACCGCCACCTCACGTCAACCCAGAGTCTCAGAGTGTACATATTCCGAGGGTTCTGACCAAGTGGCTTGGAGAGTTCTGCCATGCTGCCGATTCCACCCATCCGAGGATGACGTCACCCTCCCAATGTCCATTAGTCTGATATAATTTTTTTAAAGTTTCAATCTTCTGCATTTGTTTTGTCACAAATAATGCTGAACAATTGTTAGAACTCATTCATAAATTTCTTCTGGGAATTGCCTATGCATAGCATATACCCAGTTTTCTATCAAGGCGTTGATCATCTTAGCGACATAAGCTCTCTACGTGCCAATATTCATACAGTTACATGTCACAGAAGAGTCAGCCTATTATTTGCCTGTGTTGTGTTTTCTTTTTATTTGAGATACATGCACGCGCGTGCGCACACGCACACACACACACACACACAGAGAAGAGAGAGAAATCTCTCCATGAATTTGTCTACCCCTATCCCCATAAAAGCCTCACAGCAGCTGGGGGCTGAAGCCAGGAAGAATTCAGTCCAGGTCACCCATGTGAGTGGCAGGGAACTGCCGACTGGAGCCATCACCATGTCTTCCAGGGTCTATAGTAGCAGGAAGGGCCAGTCAGGAGGCTGTGCCAGGAACGGAGCCCAGGAAGCCGGCCACGGGACGCTGCCCTGCCCAGCAGCAGCCTGCCTGAGAGGCTGACCGCCCGCTCTGCATGGGGTTTGTGCTTTGCATTTTTATCAAGTCAAGCATCAATCTTTTCCATTATGGCTGCTTTTATGTTCCCATGTCAAAATATTCCTCATATGCAAATCTATCTGCATTTTTGCCCAAATTCAAGTCTTCCTAAAACGCCTGAGAAGGAACTTTAGCCTTTTCTGGTGTTCCAGACCCAGGCAAGTGGCACCTCACGGGCACTTGGGGCCTAGTAGCACTGGGCAACTTATACTTACTACTGCCTACCAAGCCCCCTCTGTTCACAAAGCCTTCACCAGCTCCTACGGCGGACCCTCTTCCCATATCCACATCCTTTTCCTGGGCCTTACTGAAGTCAGCTCGGGTCCCTCTGGTACCTGGACAATCTCCATAATGGTTTGTAAAATGAATAACCCAAATAGCAAGCAAGATGTACAGCAGATTAACAGAAGCTGAGCACCCACAAACTGAAGACCATAATCTGAAACCTTTTAAGCACTGACAAGTGGAAAATTCCATCCCTGATCTCAGGTGATGGATTGCAGTTGCAGTAAAATACTACATAAAATTCCTTTCACACTAAGTGCATATGAAACACAACTGAGTTTCGTGTTTACACATGGGTACCATTCTTAATGTATCTCACATATATGCAGATATTCTAAAATACACACACACTCACAAATTCCAAATCTGAAACTGTCTGGTCTCAAACATTTTAAATAAGGAATGCTCAACTAGTTTAGGATCAAAAGGTTGGCTCGAGATGCCGGGTGGGGACGGAGCCCAGTTTGAGCAATACAAAGAACTCAGGCAGTAGAGTCAGGGCACTCCAGTCAGTGGAATGAAGCAGCAGGCAATGGGCAGGAGGCAGCTGACAGTGGAGGCCAGGCCCAGGCTTTCCCAGTGGCCGAAGGACAGCAGCAGGGAAGGGCTGCATTTGGAAAGCACCAAACTGGAAAACCGATGTTACCGACGAAACCTTCCCCCACCAGTCACCCCCCACCTCAGCAAATGGCATCAGAGTTTCTAGTTTTCCAGGCCAGAAACAGAGTCGCTTGATTCCCTGTCCTCCTACACGCCACATCCCATCTGTTAGCAAGCCCTGTTGGCTCTGTGTTCCAAATGTAGCCAGACCACATACTGTAGGATTCCACTTCAGTAACATTCTGGAAAAGGCAAAGCTATGGGGACAGAAAACAGCTGGCAGAGGCCTGGGAGGGGATGACTACCAAGGATCCCAAGCGGATTTGGGGTAGGGAGAGGGATCTGGAATTCCCCCTAGGCCTTGATCGTGGTGGTCGTGTGATTGCACGCATTTGTCACAATGTGATATTTTAAAATGGCTTTACTGTACCTTAGTAAGACATAGGGAAGGAATGCACTGGAAATCCAGACGTGACTGTATTGTCACAGCCTTCCACTTGGCCCAGACGCCATCACAACCCTGCTGCATGCCTACAGCGAGGACCCCTTGCCTGCTCTCCTGGCACCTCTCCTGGCTTCCCCAGGGTCTGCTGCAAGCACAGTGCCCAGTACCCACATGGTCCTCTGCAAACCACAAGCTGACTTCCTCACTCCTTTGCTGGGGACTCTCCTGAGCTCTCTTGGAAGAAGAGTCCTCTGCTGTGTGTCTGGCCCCATCCCCCGGGGAAGCGGACAGAGAGCCTCACATACTCACACCACAGCTCCATCTGACTCAATCCGTGTTTTATTTACTGCATGATTCCTCCTCATATCCAAAGGTACAAAGCATTTTTCTTATTTTCTCTTACCTCCCTGGTACCTAGGACATCACCTCTTTCCTGCTAAATAAGAGAAGCTCACTTTAATGTTATAGGTGGAAGGAAAGGAAGGAAGCAGCCCAGAGTGTGGGCAACTAGCAGTGACGCAGTCTCAGCTGCCACATCTCACTGTCACGGAATGTCACCCTGTTTCTTGCCGTGTAGTCTCCGGCAATATGGCATCCCCAGGGTACTGGTCTGGGTGGGGCTGCAGTCGTTGGGGCTAGCAGCTCTCCTTCCTACCTTTCCTTTTGGTTTTGCTGCCATCCCGGATTGCTACATTAACAGGTGCCTTCTCTGCAACTTCCCTCTAGAAGCAGATGTTCCAGGAGAGGAGCAGCCGCATGCTGCAGGCCTTGTCTCCGAAGCAGAGCCCTGTGAGCAGCCCGACCCGGAGCCGCTCCCCATCACGCTCCCCATCGCCCACCTTCGCCTGGCTGCCGGCCAAAGCCTCGCCCCCCTCCTCGCCCAAAGCAGCGTCAGCTTCCCTCAGCAGCATGAGTGAGGGGGATGAGGATGAGAAGTAAAGGTGGCTGGCCGGCCAGAGCCACACCGCCCAGGACACGGGGAGGTGGGCAGCATCATGGGGTGGGTGATGGCCTGGCTGGCGTTTGGAGGGCAAGAGTCATGGGAGCTATGGCTCAGTGGGGAGCCCCCGGCATGCTGTCAGGGGATGCTCTTGCACCAGCTCGCCCTCAGTGTCCATGCAGCCCAGGCCCTAGGCTCAGCATGGAGACTTCAAAACGACCCTTCTTAGCATCATCTTGACTTCCTCTAGCCTGGCGAAGGAAGCAAGCAGAGGAGCCCCAGGGGAGCTTGCCCTGAGCTGGCTGTCCTCTGCTTTGATCCTTCCAACCCAACTCTACCCAGTGAAACGCCTGTGGAAGCCACTGTTCCCTCAACTCTGCCACTCCCAGCCCAGTGGGGGTCCTGCACGCTGTCTCCTGCTCCCCGCCCCCACCCAAGCTCTGCCAGAACAAACTTCTTTCCAACGATGTGATGAAGCGTTTCTGAGAGCCACAAGGTGAAGACTGCAACCTCAGCGCAGCCATTGCTACCCAATGTCCAGTGGCAGCTCTGCTCTGTCAACACTTGGGCCCGGAGGCACGGACCCCAACCTCTGCTGCCCAAGGCAGTTGTGTCCAGGGCCTACTGTGCTCCTGACTGGACCTTTTTCTTCATGGGTTTGCTGTCAATGTGTTCCAGAAATTACCTAAAATCAGTGGAAACTACAACCAAGAATGACGCCCCATCTAGAAAGTGAGGGGCCAGTAGGCTTTGGCTCCATGTTTGGCAGATGCTACGAGGCTTCCGCAGCTTCTTCTATAAGGATGCTATTATGGAATGGCTCTTCCCATTTCTGATCAATTAACAGTATCATAGACCTCGAATAGCAGTACCGAACACATAGTATACCGATAGGGGTGCTACTTGCACGTTTCTGTTCTACGTATGCTCCAATTAGGCCACCCCAGGGTGGATGTCATATGCAACGCGAATCTATGCTGATGGCGTTTTACAATATATTCCTCTCCTGTTCTCCACTCTAACACCCCACTGAGCTCTTTGGCCTAAAGAACCTTCTGGTTCTTTTGTGACTGTGGCAGTTGGTCAAAAGCTCATCCCAGATCCCTGTAGAAATGTTTTGTCCCAATCAAGAAATTAATGTATCGCTCCTAGGGTCTCCCCTAACACAGGTGAACGAAGAGAGGCCCTGAAGAGCTTCTCGGAGAACTGTGGCCTTGGCAACGCTCTCAGCAGCCTAGTGGCCGGGCTACTACAGCAGTCACCTCTAGCCCTCAGGTTGCAGAATGTGATCAAGACTCCGTTTCTGCTGAGCTGTCTCAATTTACTGCTCCCTAATCCCATGTAGGAAAGGAAAAGTCAGAGCCAAGGCTGAGAACCAAACTGGTTATGCCAGTAACGTCAGACAGTGCTGGGCCTGATGAGCAACTTGTGGGCCAAACATAGCGTCTCTCGTGACATAAGCACCCCTTTCCAGAGGCCTTGGGAAGCAGCCTGCTGGATGACCAGGGAGGCAAGCAGGGAACAAAAAGTGGCACGTCTCCCCTCCTTGTGCTGGGGTCATCCTACCTCCCTGCCCACCTGGAGATGTGTGGCATTTACTGGGAAGCAAAACTGTGAGGTCAAGCTGGTTTAGCACTTCCTTGTTCCTGGCTCACCTGCTCTCTCCATAAGCATGTAAAGCACTCACACAGGACAGAACCCTCTGTGAGGTAGACATTTTGTGCACATGGTCCATGCAGACCACTGTCCCATGTCCAACATCCCCATCTGGCCTCTGCTCTCCATCACGAGCCCAGGACAGAGAGTTCCTGGGGGCCCTCCATTTCAGTGGCCTGCCACTTAGAGTAGCAAGGAAGGGACAAGGAGACCAGCCAACCATGGGGAGGAGGCATGAGCAAACAAGGGAAGAGTAAAGGAGAAAACAGGTTCCTTGGGAAAACAAAGGAGCAGAGGAAACCCATGCTCTTAAACCACTTCCGGACTTCCCTTTCTGGGTGGCATTCTCTCGGGCTTAGTCCATGGCTCAGGGCAGACAGACCCACTTTTGTAGGAGTCCTGTTCTAGGGCAGAAAGTGTACAGCCTACATGACAGACCCATAATACATATGCAGACCTAACGCATCATATTGACAGGTGCTGCTTCCACGACCTATTAAACAGCCCCTACGACCTATTAAACAGCCCCCACCTTAGCTGCCAATTACAGGAAACAACCAAGGCCTGGGCTGGCCCAGGGGGTGGCCCAAAACCACCCATGGACCTTGTGCTTCCAGCATCCGGCAATACCGCCCCTACAAGCCTACTGACAAGGAAATAGGAGGATTCTGCAAGCTGCCTTTTGATACTTCATGGCCATCTCCCTTCTCCCTGTTCCCAGAGGAGCTGAGGTTGTCTGTTGCTTGGACCCATCATCACTCAGTGACAATGGCCCAGAATGTGAGTTAAGGCCAGGAGAGGTGATAGAAATGACAGAAAGCAAAGCCAGCGATCCTCTCTCCCATGAAAAGAGAAGGAACCTCCAGCCTCAGGAGGCCTGCAGGACAGCAACTCTGGGTTGTGGAAGGGAGCAGCTGATAGAGACAGGAGAGAAAAAGGATCAAGTAACTCCCTTTCAGGTGTCCCCAGCAGATAAAGAACTGGGGTTCCTTTTACATATCTCCAAGGTTAGTGGATACCTGTACAAGGGTCTGGGGGTGGGGAGGGAGGGGGGCTTTCCAACATTAACACTTCCCTAGGAAGTGTCCCTATGGGAGATCCAGAAAGCAAACCTTCAGCCTGCTTCCAGCTCAGAAACTTGGGTACAGTCCTGCTGCCACAGTTACGCTGAACAGCCTGGTTCTGGCAAGCAAGCTCCCAGGTGCCAGGCCCTGCAGAGGCAAAGCCATGGCAGCCTCCAGAGAAGCAAGACCCCCAGCCCCTCTGGCAGCCTGGCTCTGCCTCTGTTGGGGGAAGACATAGCCACAGGACTGCAAGCTCCCAACCCACCCCACCTCTCACTCAGAGTCTGTGAGTGCATCCTCTAAGGGAAGGACAGAAAGAATGCATTTCTTTTCTCTCCGTTCAAGGACTGATTTTAGCACCTGGGCACAACCCAGGGAGAGAGAGGCAAGATGATGTTACAGGCTCAGCTAAATCCCATGAGCGTGCTCCAGCAGAGATGTGCCTGATGCTCAGACATCCCTTGTGCGCCAGTATCGGCTGTCAGGGTTTTGTTTTTGTTTTTGTTATTTTAAACAAAAGACATAGCTCATGAAGCACCTGCAACTTCTACTATCCTGTAGTATTTTGTTGTGTCACTGCAATGTGTCCGGGGACAAAGCCATAAGAAGAGCATATACACTTGAGACTATGCTGTACATAGAAGACGACCACGTGCCTGGGTTCAAGCACGACCTGAGGCCCAAGCTCTGGTGCTGAATATCGCAAACTTCTGGAATCAGTTCCCCCTGGCCACCCCAGCGCCCATCCCACTCCTGCTCCCCAACAGAACACAGCCTTCCTAACCCGTTTATAAATAAAGGGATGCAAAATTGCACTTTGGCCTGGTATGTTCCTTCCAAGTGTGTCGCTCTATGTTCCTGTTTATTGAGCTCTAGCTCCATGTGGGAAGACACAGGCACTGGTGGGGTGGGCTGGCCCCTGGTTGCCTGTGCCTGGCCATAGCCCTGCACCTGACCATGCTGGGTGGGCCATGGAGAAGCGTCAGAGGTGCCAGCGGAGTTGGAGAGTACCTAAGATCTAGTTAGGAACAGAGTCAGAAGGAGAAGTTAAGTTGTAAGCTCAGCCAGGACCTGAAATGGGAGGCTGCACTGCTCATTTGCTTTGTGACCTTGGCCGCATCACTCGGCTTCTAAGGCCCTGGCCATCTGCTTCTGTAACATGAGGGAACTGAGGTCCTCTTTTCCTAGAAAGCTGTCTGAATGGATATGGCCACTTGCTCTTGCCCAGGCTTTCCCCAGCTACCAGGTTGACACTGAATGAACCAACACAAAGACTCAGTAAGTCAGCCTCTCATGCCCCGGGGCCTCCACCACTGACAGCACCAGTGCACCTGGGGCCTGGTTTCGCTCCTCAACTCCACACTTTGAGCCTCAAAACCTGGGACTTTCCGGCTCCTTCTGCCTGTCTCTTCCTGGCACTTGATGCAATGCTCTCCAAGTGTATCTAGACTTTGGAAAGGGGCCATCTGGACTACTTTCCCACCTTTGAGAAAAAGCGCTTGTGATCAACTACAAGTGCATTGATGGGCGTGGGGGTGCTCAGTCAGGGTCCCACAAGTCAGCAGTGCAGGCAGCCACTGGTGTGCCTGACACTGGTGCTTGGGCTTCGGGACGTTCCATCTGGAGTAGTGTTCTTTGAAATGCCCACAAATCGGACACTGGCTTAGGTTGCAGGATAAATAAAGCCAGGCTTGCAATCAACAAGGAATGAATTTAGAAGCCAGATAGCTAATATGCATATAACACCACATTACCTGGCTTTGCCACACAGATCAGACAGGTTCCTGACAGATTTTGCTTCTCAGGCAACAGTTGTAAGTTACATCTCGACTTCTGGGATCCCTCAAACCTGTCCTCCAGGAAAAACCAACCAGCTCTCAGGTGAAACAACTCAAGAATCTTCAAACAACTTTGTAATAATGTAAAGCACCTTCATAATTGTCCCAGGGAGAACTCATCTTTATTAATAGAAGTTCCAAGAAAAATGCCCACGATCACACGTTTACATACACACACAGCACAGCCCTCTCGTACTGGAATCCTCAGAGGTTATTTCTCCAGGCCTTCAGCAAGAGCTGTAAGACTCCCATAGAAAAGCTCTTTACATAGAATATAACATTTTGTAAGCTTAAAAAAAGTATATTTAGTGATCAGATTATTTAAGAAATGTCAAGCAAAATCTAATAAATAACCAGTAAAATCTGAAAATACCACCAGCAATACCACTACTGTCAGTGCTAGCAAACCCGTATGTTCAGCTCTTCTGTAATGCCATAATTTATACTGTAGAAAAGACACCATATTGTCTGAATCTGTTACAGTTGACCACGAGTGCTTAAGGAGAAATACTCAGAGAAGGGTTGCCTTGTGTTGTCTCCTTCAATCATTTCTAGTCTCTTAATTTCTTGAGTTTGTTGTTGCAATGTTAATGGATTCTTTTCATAAAAGCAAAGTTCTCATGTATAATTACAAACAACTCAAATTTCAGATATGTGATCTTCCATTTAAAAAGCACTCATGGGGCTTGGCGCAATGACTCAAATGGTTACTCTTTCCCCTCCAAGTGTCAGGATCCCATATGGGCACTGGTTTGTGTCCCAGCTGCTCCACTTCCCATCCAGCTCTCTGATTGTGACCTGGGAAAACAGTAAAGGATGGCCCAAAGCCTTGGGACCCTGCACCCACATGGAAGACCCAGAAGAAGCTCCTGGCTTTAGATCGGCTCATCTCCGGCCGTTGCAGCCACTTGGAGAATGAACCAGCAGATGGAAGATCTTTCTGTCTCTCCTTCCCTCTGTAAATCTGTCTTTCCAATAAAAAAAAAATTCTAAGAAAACCATTCATGACTCTTATGTAAAAGAGGACTGTGTACATCTTCTCCAGAGGGACATTTGCAATTTACTACATGTGCAAATATTCTGTCACAATAATGTCTCTAAGTCCAAAGAAAACATCCTTCTCTCTGTACATGATAGGATTCAGTAGCTGAATTCACTACACTGTATGAGAAACTCATCCACTTTTTTCACTTTTCAAATCACTCCATTGGTCAGTTGTTGCCAAGAGACCATTCACCAGCCTTATCACCAATCCATGTGAACATAGCGGAACCACTGACGGCTTTTCTGCTTCTTTCCCTGTCTGCCAGACAGGGTGTAAATGACAGACGAAAGAAGTTGAAGATGGATGTGGTTAGTTCCCTGTTGCTGAATCAAATTAGGAAAGCTAGCTGGCTTGCAGCAACAGAACCTCATTAGTTTACAGCCTTGTAACTCAGGGTATTAAATTAAGGTGTGAGCAGTTCCTGTCCCAAAGCTCCAAGGCAGAGTCTGTTTTCTGACCTCTCTTCCAGCTCTGCAGGTCACCTAAACTCCTTGGTTCACAGCCTTCTCACATCAATGGTCTGCCTTCTGCTGCTTCCCTTGACTCATGGAACGCCTAGGGTTGCATTGGGCTCACCTGGGTAATCCACAAAAATCTCCCCCATTGTAAGGTCATCAGCCATTTCCTCAACAAGCTTAATTACGTCTTTTAGAACAACCCATTCCCAGGTTCAGAGGATTAGGCTGTCACCATTATTCGGTGACAGAGGACAGTGGCCAGAAACCCTTGAACCAGAGAGGGTTGTAGGACAGTAACCCTCCTATAGACAGGTTCTATCCTTTTAAACATTCTGATTTAATATTTATATTCCTACTTAATGATTACTAGCGATGAGTTCGCGTAAATGTTGAGTCCTGCTCTCCCTTAGTGAAGCACAGACATCCTGGGAGATGTGTGACCCAACTGAACATGCTAATTGGCATGCGAGAGGAGGAAGTGCTGAATCTTCAACTTCCAAACTTCCAACAGAGAAGCGGTTTTTAGAGGCCCTTCCCCCTGTTCCCTCTATCCATCCTCTCCATCCGTGTTTGGCTGCAGCAAGAAAATCTGTGAAAAAAGCAGCTAACCCAAGTCAGGGATACAGTTTCTGTTCTCCAGGTGACATAGGCAATGGATATATTAACTTGTAGTCGAGCTTGCTGTCTCCAGTAGAGGTAAAAACACTAACTGTTGACTTGTACTTTGTGCACACGGGAAGCTAATTTACTCAGCAGCAAGAAATAAACGTACATTCAGAGCAAGCGTGGGTCGCTGCACGCTGAAAAATACCCAACATGAGCGGGCCACGGAAATGTCCAGAAACAAGGAAGACAGAAACCCCGAAAACATACCTGTGAACCAGAGCAGCAGTGCTCCACCTGGTCGCTGCCGAGAGAAAATGAGAGCGGAGAGTCCAGGGCATTCTGAGGGGCAACAAAGAGCCCTCTCCCGCCGTCTGCCTCCTTACAATGAAGCAAGTGGTACTTCACTCGGACCTGTCCCGTGGAGGCCTGAGCCTAGACCCTGGGCCGCAACAAGTGCATCTTGGGAAGGTGGGTGTATCAGCTAGCAGTTAAAGAGACAGCTAAAGCATTATTTTACAGGGATAATATGAGCAT